AGTATGTTCAGATTGCAATACATTATATAAAAATTCAGAAATTTTGCAAAAAAATGTGAAAGATCAGTCAAATAATGGGTTTAAATGCATCCATATGGAATTTCCAAATCATCTGAAAAGGGCCAGAGAAGTCTTTGTGAAACAGAAATAACAAACAAATATTGATAGTTGAAGATTACATTAGAAAACTAAAGATGATTTTTCCCTTGCTATCTTTGAAGACTTAATTGATTACAATGTATCAGCGATCAGGATTTAAATCACTTTTGAAAAAATGAACCAATCGGGATGATACTGAACGGATAACTAATATTATGATGAGTAATTTGGAAAACTTTTCCATCACAAATTAACACACCTGATTCTTCACAATTTTTTACATCAGAAACTACTAATTCCTATTTAGGAATTATGATAAATCTCGATTGGTTCCAACCATTCGATTTATCAGCATATAGTTGTGGCATCATATATAGTGTTATATGTAACCTTCCACATGAAGTTTAATTTAAAAAAAAATATATATTAATACTTGGACTACTACCAGATCCCAAAGAGATAAAGTTACATCAGATAAACCATTACCTTTTCCTGATAGTGAATGAATTATTAGAATTGTAGAATGGATATGTTATACCAATCTCAACAAAATTTATGAATGGAAAAATAATTAGGTTAGCTATCATTTGCTGCTCAAATGATATTCCAGCTACTAGAAAATTGTGCGGTTATATATCAGCATTAACTGGCTGCCATCAATGCTACAAACGTACAAATACAGGAGGTAGAAAACCAAATTTTGGTGGGTTCGAAGACATGGATGATTGGTTACAAAAACGAGACCTTGAAGAACATCTCAGAAATGCTGAAGGATGGCAATAATGCAAAACAAAAGATGAAAGAAAGCAGCATGTTTCTGATGCACACGTACGTTGATCAGAAATGTTAAGGCTGCCTTATTTTAGCCCGATTCGATATCTTGTCATCGATTTGATGCATTACTTTTTCTTGGCATTGCCTATTTGATAGTAAAAAGGTTATGGTTTAACAAAATCAATCTTGTATTATTAGAAGAATGGGCAAAAATCATCAACCTACCCGCCAATTTGAGTCAGATCCTAAATAAATTTCAACTGAAGAAGGGTTTTCTGGCTTTATTGCCGAGCAATGAAAGACTTTTATTTTAGTATATGTGACTCCATTATTATAGAATCTTTTAGATTTACTGGATAGAGGAATTTTAGTTAATTTTATTAGAGCTTGTTCATTACTTATATGTCGAATAATTGACAACAATATATTGACTGAAGCTCATGCCTGATTGTTACAAGTAGCACTTTTAGTTGAAAAATATTTACTGATTTATATTGATAATCGGATCTTATTTATATATTTACAAAAAGTATATTTCCAATATATATT